CCGTAGGTGAATGCACCCCGGGCGACTGCCTGAAGACTAGACGATCTCATTCCAAGGACATGGTGCTCTGCTGGGCACATGGTGAGGGCTGCACCTGTCACTGGTGGTCACGAGTCCTCGTCACAAGCTGCTACGTCGCTGGCTCAGCCGGGGCCCCTGCCTCCCAGTTCAGCGTGCTTCCCCGTAGACGTAAGTGAGAATCGTAAACCTCTTTTCTGAGTTAGCTACTGTTACTTTCTTTGCTCGTCTCCTCCGTTGTGTAGAGGTAAGTACGTGATCACACAGCTCCTCTCTCGGCCCAGCAGATGTGCTTCCGAGCCCCACCCCCCACCGCACTCGCGAGGGCTTCCTGAGCGGGGGAGGCCGAAGGAGGGGTTCCTTCCATCGTTTGTGACGCTGCGTGGCGGCCTCGCCCTGGGCGCCGTGTGGTCCCACAGCAGCGCCGGGCTTTTTACACCGACCGCAATGCACTGCACTTCCCGGCATAAGTGGGTTAAGTGGTGCCCCGGCCTGGGCTGGGCTTAAAAGCAAAGAAAATCCCGGGACAGCCAGCGAGGAAAGACTCACGCGTCTCCCCGCACAGGACTGCAGGTCGCCCTCCAGGCCTGGCTCCCGCGGTAGGAGACTCAGCACCTTGGAACCAGCAGGGCGCCTGGGGCCGGGCCCGGGTGCCGGCGGGCAGGTGAGCGCCACCCTCAGCCACTCGAGTCTGAGGACGTAAACTCTCGCGAGTGAGGTCTCTTTTCCTCCGACGGGCGGGTTTCTTTTCTGTTCCATGCAGGCAAGCGAGGGTCGGAACTAACCACGCGAGTTATTTCTGGGGAGACTGGTTGGGGCGGTCACAAGGCACCCAGCCTTCAGGTGGCTGGTATTTTAAAAGCCCGGGGTTGGGCTGGGCACTCACGGGGGACAGAGGTGAGGGGCTGGAGGAGACGTGAACGAAAGGTATTTGTCTGTCTGGAAACCGGAAGCCGGAGGAAACGAGACCCCGGAGATTCGGAGGGAAACCGCGTGTGTCCGGGAATGTGGTGTCGGGGGCAGAGGGACTGAAAACCACTTACAGCTACTGCTTGAATTTGGTGGGAAGAGTCCAGCCTTTGGAATAAGACAGCCGTAGGTTGGAATCCCAACTCCAGCACTTGAAACCTACATGGTTTTTGGACTGGTTGGCACATGATGTTGCTGAGCCTACAAACTCCAGGATTTTTGGAAGGACAGTTACGGTTTGTGTGGTGTAGGTAGCCCTGTGTAGACGCATGACTGTGTTCTGCTGACCCTGCTGCTGGCCATCCTGAAGCCGTCTCAGGGCGAGGCAGCCGCGCCTCGCAAGGGCGCAGACTCTGGGACTGAATGCAGCTGACGGCTGCTTTTAAAAACGTCTGGGACGCGCTGGCCACATGCCGTTCTGTCAGGAGTGCCCCGCGGTCACTCAGTGTCTGCGTGCGTCTCAGACTGACAGCACCGCAGCGCAGCTCCGGAATTTCTCATGAAGAGACGGCCTTTGAGGTCTGAGCTCCGCGGCTGCCAGTGCGCAGTGCGGTCTGAGCAGCAGTGCCGCCGGCTGCCAGCTCCGAGTGTCACCGTGGGCTGGGCACGCCGTCAGTCACCTCCCCCAGAAAGGACGATGCCGTTAGCTCACTGGGCTGACCCGGCCAGTGTTTGACTGTGTCCCATATAAAAATGGCAATTTCGTGAGGTCACCTAAAAACCTGCCTCACTGGTCTCAGAGGAGACTCGGCTCACACGGGCCCTTGTGCACAGAAGTGCTTTGTGGACAGAAGGCTGCTGTCGCCGTCATCGTCACAGGCTCTGCACTTGACAGAGAGCGTGACCCGCGCCCCCTGGGCCGGGTCGATGGGCGTGGGACTCGGAACAGGTTCCCACTGGTCTGCAAGCCGCGGACGGCTGGGCCGCTGGCTGCCTGCCCCCTGCCAGCCCCCCTGCTTACGGGGTGCTGTCCCCAGAAGTCACTCCTTCCGGCCCATCCCTTAAAAACCCAATCCACGCTACGCGCAGGTCCCGGCCCACAAGCCATCAGTACACATTAGCTGAGCGAGCATGGGCGTGCGTGGGGGAACGCAGGGCCCGCCCGGGGGAGGGCCCGCCCGGGGGACAGCCTGCCGTGGCACGGTTCTGTGCAAGTGCCAGCAGCTGAAACTTAGCGTCCGGATGCAGTGGTGAGTGGGAACTCCTGAATCCCAAGGGCCAGCCGTGGGGGGTGTGACCGGGACTGGCCGGAGAGCACCCTGGCCACACTCTGTTCTCTCGCTTCCGCCCCGTGAGACAGGTCGTGGGAGGCGGGGATGATGAACAGGCCGAAACTGTTGGCATCGCCTGGCAGGGCCGGTGTGCCCTCCCCCGGTTCCTCCCTCCTGTCCCCACCACAGTCCGTAGCCGGCGGGGACTGCTTGGCTTTGTCTCCGGTCATTCTCCTCGCAGTGGCCACCACGAGGCGCCACAGTAAAGGGAGCTGCTGTGTTCCCCAGTGCCATCACGGGGTGTCTGGAGGGTCTTTAGCCGGCCAGCACGCCCGCCGTGTGCGGGAGAGCTCTGGAGCCTCCCGCCCCAGTGCTGCACTGGAGTGAGGTCCCCTCGGAGAGACCCCGTGTTTCCAGGGAGTGATCGCCTGCTGCTGTGTGTTGCGAGCTAGGGCAGATGGCTCAGGGGGCACAGGTGGTGGCCGGGTGGCTTTTCTCAAGAGCACGGCATGGTGTTTGTGACCTTCTCCTGGCCCGGGGCCTGCCGCTCCAGAACCACGCACATCTGGGGAGGCTGAGCCTCGTGCCTGCAGTCAGGACCCGGGTGGGTTTGCACAGAGGGGCGGGCAGAGGCCGCGCCTCCCTCGTTTGGGGCCCCTCCTTCGGCTGAATCAGCGGCCATAGGAGGCAGGAATGTCACCGTCCCCTCCACGGTGGCACTGGAGACACGCTGACATCGGTCCCTTTCTGCCAGTGTTTTACACCCGCAGGGGCCTCCCCTTCTGCCGGGGAGGCCGGTGGTCGGAGGGGCTCCCGCACCCAGTGGCAGCGCCCATGTCCCAGGCGTGTGTGGCTGGAGCCTGTGCTGCACGGGGACTCGCTCCCGTGAGGACACGCATCCCGTGGTGCACGGGCGTGTGCTGCATCACCGCTCACACGCAGCGCTGAGCTCACGTTGACCCCTGCGGGCACACCACAGTGGCTGTCTGGTGTGCGAGGGTCAGGGCAGCAGAGCGGTCCAGGCACGGGCTCATCCCTGGCACCTGCTGTGGTCTCCATCCCCTTGGGCTCCCCTCTGGGCGTGTCTCCGTAGGCAGGTCAGTGCCTGACCACACCCTCCCGGCTCAGCTCCCCGAGGGCTGGGACGCGTGCCTCCCCCTGCTGGCTGCCATCCCCCAGCCTCTGGCCCCTGCTCCTTGTTAAAGACACTGACCTAGAAGGCCGGCGGGGCCGGGCCCCTGTTCATTACAAGCACCGAATGTGTGGCCAGCCAGTGCCGGGCGCACGAGAGAGGGCGAACGCGTGGGCGAATTCGTGAGAACTCCGGGGCCGCCGGGCGGGGCCGTCTCCAGGCGCCGGCTGTCCGCGACCGCAGCCTTCCCGCCCTGCCTCTCGGTGAAATTGATCCCATGGGTTTTTCTAATTTCACAAGTGATTGGTGAGTAATCTCACTGTAAAGGAGCCAAGCGCTAATTACCACCAATTAAAAATATTTTGTATACTATTCTTCTACTTGGTATTTAATATTGGTAAAACTTGAAACAGGCACACGCCGCACCCCGTCACAGTCCCACTTCAGCTTTGGTGTCTAGAAGTGTTCACGCAGCCGGTTGCTGAGACCCCAGGGTCCCGGCCTCCACGGTCATGGTCACGGTCGGCCTCACCCCCCACCCCCACCCCCCGGGAGGCCTGCAGGGCCGGTGCAGACTTGCCTTCTGGCTGAGAGACAGAGAGTGAAGACACAGTTCTGAACAATGAGTGCTTAGCAGTGCTGTTCGCACACTTTGGTTTTAAAGAACACATTTGTTCTTCTTCGGAAAGCGAGCATCTGCCTTCAGGGTTTGAGCTCATCCGAACGCCCAGACTCCTGGTGCCCGCGATGATGCCAGGCTCTGCTCGTGCAGCCGGGCCTTTTCTCGGAGGTAGGGGTTTCAGGTGGGCTCCCCGGGAGAGCGCGGGCCCTCTCCCTCCTGGAATGACTGGGGGGCAGGGGGCGCCCTCTGCTGCTTCCCGAAATACTCTGCTGCCTGGGGAGTCCCTTTAGCCTTGGCCCACCGCCCCCCACTCCCCAGGGTGCTGCCCTAATTCACCCACGAATGACATGGAGTGTCTTCCTCCCAGCAGGCGCTGCCTTCAGCCTGCGGGCTTCTGAGAGGAGCAGCCCCAGTCCTGCAGAGGTCGGGAGCCGCCCCCGTGGAGGAGGCGGCAGGTACGCTGCTCGGGGCGGTTCTGCATGCCTGGCCCGCAGCCCAGATGGCCGGGGGTGAGGAGGGGTGCAGGGCGGGCTGGCCAGCTCCTCGTGGGAGCCCGGGAGCGTGGTCGGTGCAGGCTAGCCATGGGATGGCTCCGGAGGGGGTTTAATTCGCCGGGATGGGGGAGAGGGCGTTCCAGACAGGGGGAAGCACCTGCACAGAACTCGGAGACGTGAAATACCACGGTGCTTTCAGGAAGGGAGGGGGGCGTGGGGCTGGGTGCGGGGCCCGGGCAGTGCCCGAGGGTGGGCGCAGCGCCGGAACCCCCAGCACCTTCTCTCCGGAGCAGGTTCCAGGCAGCCGGTGCACCTGCCGTTCTGCGCAGTGGACAGTGGGGACAGAGTGGAGTGTGGGCCGGGGCTGGTGGGCGATTAGAACAAGTCTACGAGACAGCAGCCAAACATAGAAAATAAAGTGAGATTAAAAAACGGAGGACTCACCCTCAAAACCCTCAGAACCTGTGCACCCCTGAAAAGAGGGAGGAGCAAGCTAACTGTTGACACCTGGCCTTTTCAGCTCCTGCCCCAGCCTGCCAGCGACCTCGGGGACCATGTGGGCCTGGGCACTGTGGCTGCTGCCCCTTCTCTGCAGACCCACCCGGGCAGGTAGGTCGGCCCCTGCTGGCCTGTGGAACTTACTTTTCTTCTTTGGACAAGAACCGTTCACTTGAGAGCAGAGGGGTGCCTGGACCGGGAGCACAGGCAGTGGGCGGTGGGCGCATCTTGTGACTTTGTGTGGGGTGTGTGCCAGGTGAGTGATGTTTGTGCAGGTGCGGGTTCGGCAGGGTGGCCCGGCCGACATCCGCCCCCCCCCCCGCAAAGGTCCACTCTTTAGAGAAAAATAAGGGATTGTTTCAATAGTGTCTGTGCTAAGTGTCATGATTTCACATCGAACACACAAAGAAACAAAAATATGTGAACTCCCGGTATTTGCATTCATTCCAAGAATGTAAAGGAAAACGATGATCCCCCCCCCCCGCCATACTGCCGCCGTGGTCCATCTCATCCCGTCTGATGTTAAAACGTGTCTTCCAGACCCGAGGGGAAGGCGGGCTGGGGCGCCGGGAGGGCAGAGAGGGCGGCGCAGAGCCTGCTGGGGCTGCCGATGTGGATGCCCCGGGCCTGGGGGTCAGCAGCGCGAGTCCCGTCCTCATGGCTGTGGAGGCTGCCAGTCCAAGGTCAGGGCGCCTGCGGGGCGGCTCCCTCTGCCATCTCTCTGCCCCGCTCACCGGTGACCTCTGTCCGCCGTTTCTTTACAGGGTCATCCCTCCCTGTGTCCCAGTCCCCGCTCCCTAGGAGGCCGCCAGCCCGATGGCCTCCTTTTAACCGACTCCCCCCGCGGGCTCAGTGTCCGCCTGCAGCCCTGGGGTCGGGGCTTCAAGGCGCAGATTTGCAGGTGTGTAGTCTGCACAGTGTGTAGAAACCAGCGGTCACCAGGGGGCATCCAGGACCCCGAGGTGACGAGAACGCTTTCCAGGCCTCCATCCGGGCCGACCCCTCCTCCACCTGGGGCTCCGCCCGGGCCCAGCAGCCTCCGCCTGGCGGAGCCCCTCCTGGCCGGCTCGGCACCCGCAGTCGCCCGGGTGCCCCCCTGTAACGTTCCGGTCTCGGCCTCGCGGCTCCTGTCACCTGCCCTTTCCCTTAACCGTCCTCTGCTGACTCCTGTCTCCTCACCGCCCCCTGCGCAACTGGCGCCAGTGTGCAACTGGCGCCAGTGTGCACCTGGCTTTCCTTCTAGAACATTCTTCCCTGGCCTCTGCTCACACTTGTTCTTCGATTTCAAGACACTTTTTAAAACACTAACTGCGCAGCGGCACCAGAGTGACGTGAGCCCAGGGAAGAAGGGGGATGGAGCGCGGACCCCTTTTTAATCTGGAAAGCTTTGCTCGTGCCTGGGGGGGGCTCTCTGGCAAGTGAGAATGTCCCCCAGCCTTTCATCGAGAAAAGCTCACGAACATTCCCTCTTCTTTCTACACACGGGAACAGCTGTTCTGGAAGCATTGGAGTGTGGTGACGGGAGTTTTTGAAGGGGGGGTAGGGAGGAGGCGTGTGGGTGGGAATCCAGCCTCCGGTTGTCCCCTTTCTATCTGCTTTCGGCCGAGTCGGGACTCGTAGGAAGACTGTGCGGACAGCACAGGGGCTCCTACTCCCCCTCGTCCAGTCCGGCCACTTCGACCGACTTCCAAAGCCGCGGTGCCCGCGCCTGGCTGTCCCTTGCCCTTCTCTGTCATCCCCGGGGACTCCCTCACCCACGCACACAGTGCCCACCTCACCGACCAAGTGTACGAATGTGCACACAAACCCAAGACCCCGCACCTAAACCAGACAACCAGCCACGGTTCTGGGTGCTGCACTTCCACCTTCCCGGTGAAGGGCCCGGCCGTGGGCAGAGCTGAGATGTAAGGGGCCCGAGTCAGCTGTGCAGAGAAAACAGAACGTCCTCCTTCTCTGGGATCTAGCTAAGGAATTTCAGACGGCCCCTCCCCAGGGAGGCCAGGCAGGGCTGAGGAGGGGAGGGGCGGCTGGCACTTACCTTCCTTAATGTTGTCTCAGTTCGTCTTGTTCACCGGGTCTCCCCCAGTTCAGCCTCTGTGGGACAAAGGCCCGCTCTCCCCCTGCTGCCACCCAAGGTGGTGTCTCGGTGCGGGGCGGGTCTGTGTGACTTCCCCGAATTGGCAGGGGCTCCTGAATCTATGTGAGGGGGTCCTGTGTTGCTCCTGTCCTTCTCTGGACCTTCTGCTGCCCCCTGCCGTCCCCCGAGGGACAGCGGCTCCGCTCGGGCGTTGGTGTGTCGTCTGACTCCCAAACTCCCCGGCCTGAAGTCCCTCTGTGCAGGAGCCCAGGCCCGGACCAGCCGTACCCATGCTCCCCTCCCTGTCCCTGACACAGGAGGGCCCTGCAGCCACCACCCGCACCTGGAGGGGCTGCTCACCTGCAGAGCTGACCCAGCCGTCTCCCCGCCCCACGGGCTTGGGCAGCGGAGGCCTTGGTGTCAGCCTGGAGGCGGTGCTGAGTGCTACCCGAGGCTTCGAGACTCTAGGTTGGCCTGTGAGGCCCCAGGCTGTGCCCAGAGAAGCAGGCCATCAGCCCAGGGGACCGTGGCTCATGGTCCCACCTGCGTGCTTGTCCAAGAACACGCATGTCCGAGCCCCTCGCTGCGCCCCGCATCCTTGCCTGCGCCCTGCCCCAGGACTCACCGTGCTAGAAATGGGGCTTTTCCCCACTTCTACTCTGGTAGGGGCACCGAGGAACACTGGAAACACTGAGCTCCGCTTTGCTGCTAAACGTTGCCGCCTTCTCTTAAAAACACCTGCGTCTAAAGGCCACGGCCTTACCAAGGGCTCAGGAAGAAGCGAGTTTGAGCCTCGGAGCCACACATTGTCCTCAGTCTGAGATCGCCCTCAGCTCTTACCTGTGTTCCCGTGAGCGTGTGGTCGGTGACCCCTTGGACGTAGGGTGCAGAGAAATGATCAAAACGTGTAAGGAAACGACCTGAGACCTGGTACTAATGGATGCGCCTCCTCGTCAACTCAGTAGCGTAGACGACCTGATCATCGCGGTAGTTTAGGGACAGGGACAGGAGTGTCTGATAGTTCGCGGTGTCCACCGCAAGTGCCATGTGACAGGACAATAACCGTTCTACATGGTGGCAGAGTCACAAGGACTGAGGGAAGGACACTGCGCTTGTCGGCGATAGGTTAGCGAAATGTGAAGATGAAAGTGTCTTCTCGTTCAGGTTCGCACGCCCGGGATCTCTGCCTCTGGGCATCTGCAGGGTCCAGATCCCTGTTCTGAGGGTGGCTTCTGCTCTCCCAGGGGAGGGGTGCATGCTCCCGGGTGGGGGTGGGGGGCTGCAAAGAGGGAGATGGATCAGACAGGACGGCGCCGCAGCAGGTGTCTCAGAGACGTCCCCGGTCACAGGGTCTCCGGGGAACCTGCTGCCGCACACGGCTGAAGTGCGATGCAGTTCGACACTCATTCCCCTCTTCTTCCTCCTCACCCACTGCCCAGTTACCCAGAGTGGTTCCATCGTTTGCTGCTTTGCTTTGCCTGGTGTTTCAATATAATTTTTGACTCTCAAATGTTGCAGGCGGGTAAGAAGGTAAAAGTATTTTTTAAAAAGTGGGAATTTGGGTGTTCAAAGGGAATGACGGAAGTGCTGGGGTTAGAGCCGTGGTCCTGACTGGGAGAAACTGCTGTACTTGGCCACGAGCCAGCAAACCCAGCATCGATCGGCCTGTTCTCATGAAAATCTCCATGCTCCCGAAGTTCATCGTGCCCTGAAGTCGCTGTGTGTGTGTGTTTAGCTCTGCCAGCTAAGCCCGAGAACATCTCCTGCATCTACCACTATAAGAGAAATTTTACCTGTACCTGGAGTCCGGAGAAAGGCGCCAACCACACGTGGTACCAGGTGAAGAGAACTCAGTAAGTACCGGAGCCTGTGCGGTGTCGGTGGGGGAAGGAAATGTGTTTCCAGGTACAGCTTCTGGGCCGCCACTGTGGCGTCCAGTGGCCGGCGGCCTCTCAGCAGCAGCCCTGTTGACAGACAGGGTCAGAAATGACAGGGGTGGCAGGGGACGGCAGGGGGCGGCGCCTGGCCGGGCTGAGGGCAATCCCCACGTGCACACGGTGGACAAATCTGTTTATTTACGGTGTTCACCAGCGTTCTCCCTCTTTCCAGAATGTGTGATAAAACTGTTCACTCCTCGTGGGTCCAGGCAAAGCGGGAGGGTACCTTGCCTGCCACCAGTTTGCCACGTGGCCTCTGTCCCTCAGGAAAACACCAGGACAGTACTGGAAGCCTCCCTTTTTATTCAAATTCTATTGGAATAACAAATTACAATTTTTTATCATACTTCTGGCTAAAAGCTAGGTGTTTCAGTGAGTGTGAAGAGGGGTTTTTTAAGTTTTGAAAACAGCCCCTGAGACATGCGGCATCCATCATGGCCCAGAGGTCCTTGCTGGGCACTGGGATGCGATCTTGCCATATGTTCCATTTCAGAAAGAGTGTCTCTACCTCCGGTTTTGTTCCTCTGTGTCTTTAGATAAAGGACCACGTGTCTACTTCCGTTTTGTTTTTTCCTTGGGACCGGTGACTGGAGTGGCGGGGGACGTCCGCTTGAGTCTCTCAGAAGGAGGAGAAGGGAGAGCACTCTGCAGTCCTGCTGCATCAGGGGTGGGACCGAGACACGGGTCAGGACAGGGACCACCAGAACTTTCCCACGAGGGCCAGAGAGTGAGCCCTTTAGACTTTGATGGAGGTGGGCCATCACACCGGCACCAAATGCGCCACTGTAGCAGGAGTGCGCCGCCAACCAGGCGTGAGCCCGAGGGCCTGCTTCTACCAAAACGTCCTTTACAGACCCTGGAATTTGAGTTTCACGCAAATTTTCACAAAATAGTCTTCTTCCTATTTTTTCCCAACCATTTAACCGTGTGCCACCTGTCTCTGCCTGCGGGCCCTGCTGGAATGCTTGCTGGTCCCCCTGTTGAAAATAAGAATGAGGAAGACCCACGGGCCATGCTCCCCCTGCTCCCCCCCGTGCCCACCCCCCGCCCGCCCACATGTGCTGAGAGAACGTGAGTCTGGAAACCTCTCTAGGTTCACTCGTGTTTTGCTATTTTACCCACTCCTGCCCTCTCCTTCCACTTGGCTTCCTCTTGGCTTCCTGCGGGTGGCGTTATTGTCTTCAGCTGCTGTGTGGAGTCAGGAGCCCCTGGGTGTCCTCAGGCCAGTGTCCAGCTCCTCGATGGCTCCAGGCCGTGAGGCTACCGGGACGCCCACACCAGCTTGTGTTCTTGTGCGGTGATCACCAAGAATCTCTCTCTGGGGCAGAAGGGCCGGTTTCCTTGCCGTGGGCTCTGGGAGCGGGCGATGGGGGCGGTGGCATGAACAGAAGGCCTCTGATGGCAGGAACAGCAGAGATTGATTTTTCCTCGGGGAAGAGGGGTGGCTGGGGGCCTTCCTGGAGGCGGGGCTCCGCACTAGACTGAGGAGCCATGGAGACGCAGCATCGGAGAGAGGTCGCTCCTCCAAGGAGCGAGTGCGCAAGTTCTCAGGGTGGTCGTGGCGCAGGCAGCCATAACGGGGAACGAGGTGTCACCTGTGGACCTGTGTGTGACTGCCCCTCGTCCTCACGATCGCCTTGGGTCACAGGCGTATCACTCATCTTGTTACAGAGATGAGAAATTGAGGCGCAGACTGCAGACCCAGCGAGAGGCGGGCCAAGGCGAGGGTTAATGGGGTGGAGCCAGGACTCCTGCTGGTCCCCTCCCAGAGCCTGGGCCTGTCCCCGTGGCCCAGCGTGGTCCTGGAGGCATGTCCGTGCTGCCTAGAAGCAAGCACAACCCTTGCGGCTCTTTCTACTTCCAGACTCCATCTTTCCCTGCGTCCTCGCTCCACTCCCAGGCCCCGCCTGGCAAATGTGGCCCCTGTGACACGGCCCCTCTCCGTCCCCGGCCACCTCCCTGTCCTGTGCACTCCCCAGGCTTGTGACTGCAGTCACGCCCTCCAGGTCCTGGCAGGGCACGTGCTGGTGTGCGCTGAGTTACAACCTGATGGGTTTACAGGACCCGCGTGGTCATTTTACTGGGTTATTTGTCAATTTACTACACTTTCTGCCGTGAATTTTAATGGGTTTTCTGAAAACAGTATATACCAGTGGTACAAAATTCAACCTGAACAATAGAAAGGATGTAAAATAGCGCCCAGACCCCGTCCCAAAGATGACAACTTCAGCATTTTGACGAGACCTTTGCGGGCGCCTTTAAGAACAGTTTTACGGAAATGTGATGATTCTGGACATAACGTACGTCTTGCTCTTTCCCACCGACACTAGACAGAGTGCGGGCACCTTTCCGTACCTGTAGATATACACGATTAAGAACTGCTGCTTTAAATTCTGTTTATTATCTCCCATAATGTATTTAACAAATCCTCTTCGATTTCTTTCTATTAAAAATAAGTTCCAAGGCTAGAGTCTGGGGCCTACTCGTTATTCGTTACCAATAGGAAATGCACGACAGTGTCGCTTTTGATGGACTTGCTGGGGCCCGAGGAGGCCCCCACGGTCTATGGCGTCCCAGGCAGGCAGGACACAGGGGACTTTGGCCTCTCCCAGGAGGCGAGGGTGGATTTTGGAGGGAGGGGTAGCGAATTCCAGTCTGTCCAGCTCCCCAGAGCAGCGCGGACCGACACGCACACATGCATGGGGAACATGTTACATGTGTCTGAAGCTGCTGTACTCAACCCGTGTCCGATCCTTTTTCCCTCGGAAGCACCTTTGGCGAGGACAGCGACACCTGTAATTCCACAAGTGAGGGGCGCGCTTCCTGCTCGTTTGTTCGTCTAATCACGTACCCAGATATTTACCAGATTCAAGTGCAAGCTCGGAACGCAGATGGGATGGCCGAGTCCGATGTCACCGTTTGGGACTTGGATACCATAAGTAAGTGTTATTCGGTGGCTTGTGTACTTTTTCCTTAAAAAGGGCTGCTACCCCCTTCAAAGACATATCTGTGGATTCAAAAGCAGACTCAAAGGCCAAGGATATGGTGGCTGTGTGTTATGTATAAATGAAAATTTGTCTTCTTATCAGAGAAGGAAAGGAGAGGGGGAGGGAGGGGAAAAAGGAGGGAGGGAGGGAGGGAGGGAGGGAGGAAGGAAGGAAGGAAGGAAGGAAGGAAGGAAGGAAGGAAGGAAGGAAGGAAGGAAGGAAGGGAGGGAGAAATTGGCCAAATTAAAAACAAAGAATGAGGAAAGACATTTTTCTGGTCCCTGATTTCTTCTTGCAGTTTGTACCATAAATTGTACTCAAAGAAGCCTAACCAGGTGTCACCAAGATTTACTGCTGTATTTTCTTCTGAGTGTTTTGTAGTCTTGGCTCTTGCGTCTGGTTCTTGGTCCATTCCGGGCGCATTCTGCACGTGCTGTGAGGCAGGCGTCAGACTGCGCTGTTTTGCTGGGGGCTCCGCGGTTGTCTCAGCGACCCGCGTAGAAAAGGTGATTCTTGCCCCATCAAATGGGCTTGGTCCCCCAGTCAGTATCGACCCACCAGGAATGTAAGGTTTCCCTGTGGGCTCTCAGTCCTTTGGCACATATGCCTTTGACCTTTATGCCAGTGTCACGCTGCCATGATCACTCTGGCTTTATAGTGAGTTTTGAAACTGGGAGGGTGAGTCCTCCATTTTCATTGTTTTTCAAGATGATTCAATGGCTGGGTCCCTTGAATTTCCACATGAATTTTAGGGTCAGCACGTCAGTTACTGCCGGGAAGGCTGCTGGGATTTTGGTAACTGTGGCTATTATAGATGACGGAAAATCTTCCAGTCCATGAACATGGAGTATCTATGCACTTATTTAGGCCTTTTCTAATCTCTCTCAATTATGTTTTATAGTTTTCAGTGTGCAAGTCTTGCACTTCTTTGGTTAAATTTATTCTCAAGTATTCTATGAGTTTTGATCCTATTGTAAATGGAATTGATTTCTTAATTTCCCTTTCAGATTGTTCAGTAGAGTAAAATCAATTTTGTATATTGATCTTGTAACCTGTGACCGTGTTGGACCTGGGTACTGGGTCTGTGTGTGTGTGTCTATTGCTCAGGATTTTTCTCTGTGCACGAGGGTGTCGTTTGAAAATACGGCTTCCCTTTGTCCTTTCCAGCCTGGGCGCCTTCTTTGTCTTTCTTGCCCAGTCGCCCTGTTCAGAACCACCAGCTGCTGTTGAGCGGAAGTGGGAAGGGAGGCATTCTCGTCCTGCCCTCAGGAGGGCGTCCCCATTAAAGTGTGACCCTTGCTGGGGGGGGGGTGTTGTGGACAGACGCCCTTTCTGGGCTGGTGGTTTGTCGAGTGTGGTCACCATGTGGTTTTGTCCTTCATTCTGTTAAAACGGTGTGTTCTGTTGACTATACATATGTATAGATAGGAAAATTGATATTTTCCTAAGTTAAACAAATCTTGTATTCCTGGGGTGCATTTCGCCGGGTTGTGGTGTGTAATCCACTTTATGTGTTGGTGAATTTGGATGCTGTTTGTCGAGGGCTTTGTCTTGTGTGCTCATGAGGACGATCAGTCTGCTGTTTTCTTGTGGCGTCTGCATCTGTTTTTGGAGTCAGGTGACAGTGGCCTCACCAAAGGAGCCGGGGCGTGTTTCCTGCTCTTCGGTTGTTTGAGAGATTCGGGGGAACCAGTGTTGACTCTGGTGGCCTCTGGTAGACAGACTTCACCGGTGTCGTCATCCGCCCCCGAGACGTTCTTTTTGAGAGACGTTTCGACTTGGGTTTCTTTTTAAAGCTGGTTTTGCGGACCTGCCTTTGGCGGGCTGACCTCCCACTGCGGACAGCGCCTCGTGAGGGTGGGCCTGGAAGGGACAGGAGTGTTCACGTCTTAAGTAAACTCTCAATATTATTTATTATCTGTACTGCATTAAACTGAACACGGGTCACTTTAGCAATTAAAAGTATTAAAAAATGAACTCAGTCATCAGAGGAAACCCCCAAACTTTCTCTTCTTCTTTCCACTAAATTGAGTAGATATGTAAATGTTCTGATTGCCACTGATTACAATTTAGAGTAAGGAGAAATTTTCCTCTAAATTAGTAACACGCAGATTTATAAAATTAATCTCTGAAGAAATTTAGTTTTTTTAGTCTGTTTACTTATATCCATCTGGAAAAGAAATGGAGAAAATGAAAGCGAGACACCAAATAACATCAACAAGAATGAAACCCTGAGCAACAAACCTCACCCAGGAGGAGAGAGGTCTGCACAGCTGGACGACAGCAACGCCAGCACCTGAGGAAGACACAGCGAATAGAAATAGGTCCTGTGTTTGTGGATCGAAAGGACTGATATTGTTGGAAGTAATATTTTAATACAGATTAAATGCAATGCCTATCAAAATGCCAGTAACATTTTCTACAGAAATAGAAAAAAATCCAGAAATTTACATGAAACCACAAAAGGCCTTGAATAGCCAAAACAATTCTGAACAAGAAGAAATCTGGAGATACCACACTACTTGATTTCAGAATATACCACAAAGCTGTAGCAGTCAAAACAGTGTGGTATTGGCAGAAAGCCAGACACTTAGCACAGAATAGAGAGCCCAGAGGTCAGCCCAGGCATGGTCAGCTGACCTTCACAGGGCACCAAAAACACAAAACGGGAAGGACAGTCCCTTCAATCAATAGTGTCAGGAAAGCTGGGCAGTCACGTGCCAGAGAATGGCGCTGGCCCCCATCTTACACCACATGAAAAGTCAGCTCAGTATAGATTAAAGACATAAACATAAGATCCGAAACCATGAAATTCCTGGAAGGCAACGTAGGGGAGAAGCTCCTAGACATTAACGTTAGCAACAATTTGTGGAATAAGACACCAAATGCACAGGCGACAAGAACAAAAAAAGAGACACGTGGGACCACAGCAAACTTTAAAACTTCTGTACAATGAAGGAAATAATCAACAAATGACCAGCTAACCTTCAGAATGGGAGAAAATGTCTAATATATATAAGGAACTCTCACAATGTACTAGCAAAAAAGCAATTAACGCCAATAAAAATAGGCAAAGGACCTGAAAAGAACTTCTCCAAAGAAGACATACAAATGGCCAACAGGTGTGAAGAGCCCCCCCCCCCCCAAACCCTGGAATTATCTTCTGGAGGGCAGGCTCCAGGCTTTCCCCACTCGGTGAGTGTTCTAGGAACCCATAGGTACCAGTGCGCCAGCTGGTGTTGTTGTGAGAGGCTGTGTTCTGCTTGAGCGAATTTGTTTTTTGAAGACTCTTAAAGTGTGTTTGCCCGTTTCAAGATGGGTGATTTACGAGTGCACCTGCCCATGCTGTGCTGGGTGTTCCCCGGTTTTTGACCAGCCCTCCCTATTCACCCCATCTTGCCCCGAGCAACTTTTTTTGTTCCCCTGTTGGAAAAAGTCCTCAAAGGGAGACATAATGCCGATGTAGAAAAAGCAAAGCAAAGAAACAAAAACAAAAACGGAAGAATCAGTGAAATCGATGAGTTCAAAAACTGTTTGAGCAGTGAAAACAAGTCTCCATAGGCATATTGCATCAAAGGGGGACTACTTTGAATGTCACTGAAGTCTAAACACGTGAAGTTAAAACATGTAAAAATACACTGTCTTTATAGATGAATTCAGGTTTTTGGGGTCCCCCCTCGTATGTGAAAAGGGGCTTGAAATCACCCATCGCCAGCAAACTGCACATCAAAACTGCGGTGAGGTATCACACCTGCTGGGGCAGCCGTGAGAAAAATAAAGGAGGTAGGTGTCACCGAAGGCACGAAGACCAGGGACTCCAGTGCCATGTTCTGGGGATGCAGATGGCCGCAGCCGTGATGGAAACCAGTACGGAGTTTCCTCAAAAACTAAAAATGGCACTGTCCTAGGGTCCAGCGAGCCCCTCCCGGGGGAAGCAGACTCGGGGTCTCAAAAGGACACCTGCACTCGTGCGCGCTATTCACAGTAGCAGGGATTGGGCGTCAACCTGCTTGCCCGCCAACAGGTGAGATAATAAGGGAGCTGTGGCACACACGGCGCAAGACTGTCAAGCCTTCTCGGAGAAGAAAGCCTGCCATCCACGGCAGCGACGAAGGATTCGGGGGCTCTGTGCTCAGTGACACAGAACCATAAGCACTTAGGACCCGTCTTGCACAGAGAAGTTGTGGCTCCTTAGGAGCAGGCAGGGCGGCAGGGAGGGGCGGAGGAGGTGAAGGCTGAAGGTGCAAGTTCAGTTACATGAAAGACGAAATTCTGTATCCTCCAGGTACTTCAGGTTCAGTTTAGTTTTTTCTTTCTGCTCCTCAGACTCAATATTTTTTTAAATTTTTATTTAGTTATTTTTCGAGTACAGTTTTTTGTTTATTTCTCCCATCCCAGCCCACCCCTCCCCCATGCACCCCACCTCCCATTTCCACCCCCCTAAGTTATTGTGTCTGGGTCCTTCATACTTGTTCCTCTAAATCCCTCCAATTTTTCCCCTTAAATTCCCTCCCCTCTCCCCTCTGGTCACTGTCCCCCTGTTCTCTATTTCAGTGTATTTGTTTTTATTTTGCTTGCTTGTCTGTTTTGTTGTTTAGCTTCCTGTTAAAGGTGAGATCATATGGTATTTGTCTTTCACTGCCTGGCTTATTTCACTCAGCATAATGCTCTCCAGTTCCATCCATGTTGTGGCAAAGGGTAGGAGCTCCTTTCTCTCTGCTGCATAGAATTCCATTGTAGACTCAATATGTTTAGTTGTCCTACCTTCACATTTTGCTTCTCCTTCCTGCTCAAATCGGTTGTTTATTCTCCTTAGTGAATTTTTAATTTCATTTATTATAATTTTCAGCTTCAGAATGTTTGGTTCCTTTTTATAATTCCTCTCTGTTTATCGATGATAGTCTCATTTTGATTATATATCGTTTTCCTGATTTTCTTTAGTTCTTTGCCCATGTCTTCCTTTAGCTCTTTGAGCTTATTTAAGACATTTGTTTTCAAGTTTTTGTCTCGGAAGCCTGGGGTCTGGGTGTCATCAAGGACAGTTTCTGTCACCGCGTTTTCTTTCTTCGAACGGGCCATGTTCTCCTGGTCCCCTGCCTGCCGTGATTGCTGGTGGAAACCGGGCCTTGGAAAACACGTCCCGTCTCCGGGCCTCAGCAGATCAGCCGGGCTTGCTCCGAGCCTGTGGCTCGGTCTCGGGGGAAAGACGAACTTCTCCGGTCTTTTCTGAGTGTGCATCTTGCACGTTGCTTTCTCAGTTCCTAAGCTTCTGTCTCAATCTCCTCGGACTTTGGATGACCCACTTCTCCTTCCACGGCCTCCTGCCCGAGACTCGTGAGCGTCTGCTGGCTCCCTGCTCCCTGTGGCTTTGCTGCTGCCTTTCCCGCCCAAGACGGGGCCAGACCAGACAGAGACCGGCCTTTCTGCCGTCACCCAGGGGTGCTCAGACGTCCATGCGGTCCGCCCTGCCCTCTCTGGCTGGAGTTAGGGCAGCCGGAACTGGGTGTCTGACATGCTGGGGAGGGGATAGGACAAGGCAAGGCCTTTCCTGCCAGTTTGAGGGGGACTTTTCCTAAACTGGATACCCCTTCGGGCGCCGCAGACCTTTGACTGGTTTCCAGAGCTCCAGCCAGAGGAGTTGGAGCAGCTTCTGGGCTTGGTTTTGGTTTTTGCTTCCGTGGGGGAACGCACACCCGGACTTCCCCAGGCCGTCATTTGGCCGTCCTTACTCAATATCCATCGGCTCCCAGCGAGCAGTTCCGAGGGCCCCTTTTCATCAGGGTAACAGTTAAGAATGTATCTCCTTGGGATACAGCTGCAGGACTCACTGCCCCCACAGCAGGGGTTTGTGTTCACTGTGCGGGAGGCCGTCCAAGACCACGGGTGGGAGCAAGGATTGCGGAGTGGGTGCGAAGGACTCTCTGCTGAGCTTCTTGTGAGAAAGTCATTTAACCTTCAGATTTCAATGTTAACTTCTTAAAATGAATATAACAAATGGCGGGCGACTGAGGGAGTTGGCAAAGGGGTGCTCCTCAAAAAACGCCCACAAAGTGCTCTGCAGAAGCCGACGACCTTGCAGAAGTCACTTGGCGCACCCACGGTTTGTGGCCGCGCTGGCAGGCCCCCCCCCCCGGACCAGGCACGGCAAGCGCACGCTGGTATTTGAGGGGCCACAGAGAGTATTCTAATTCCCAAGGCTTTTATTTACCTGGGTGTAAGCAGGGATGTCGCTTTCCCGGAGTCTCTGGGGATGGCCAAGGTGAGAGCGCTGACAACTACTCAGCGTCCAGTCGGAGTCGTTGCAGAAACTGGCGGGCGCAGTGAGCGGAAGAGCAGGTTTATTAGCAAGGAGAAGGGGGAAGCGGAGCCAACCAAGGGAGGGTGGGACTCGCTCGGTTGTCCTTAGGACAGCATTTTTAAGCACAAAAACCCACCAGGGGTAACCAGTTGGGGGCTCAGAGTCTGATTGGCTAGAGCTGGTGGCCGGGTGCCCTTCCTGCTGACCATCATGCTTGATACATCCTGTCAGCCTTGGGTTAAAGCTGCAGCCTGCTGTGCGGGATCAGCTGACCCCAGAGCCCAGTCTCGGCGGGGCATCCGTTCGTCCTGGGTCGGCAGGCAGCTTCCCCGGCAGGCGGTTTCCCACCGTGCAGTTTCCCGCCTGGTGATTTTCTGTTCCTCCCGGGCCTGCCAGGGTCTGTCACTGGGTGCTGGCAGCGAGGGTGTGCCACCCCGGAACCCGCACACGGTCAGTGGGAGCCGCGATTAGTGCAGCCTCATCAGAGAGCACACTGGCGTGGAAGCAGCCCTGCTGTGCGCACGCCGCTTCCCTCAGTCGTTCCACACCAGTGGTGCGATCGAGACCAGCTTCTGCTCTCAGGGCCTTAAAGCCAGACCTCGGGGACTGAACCCACAGCGACAGGCCAAGGTCGGGCCAGGTCTATGTATCTGTAAGGTGGGACATTGTGACGCTTTGAAAAAAATCACGTTTTGGAGAATTCTCGATGCAAGGGAGGCTATATGCCAATTGCACAATGTTCTTAAAAAAAGAGGAAGGCGTTATTTAGCACAATATCCATTTTGTTGGAAAAACATGCACATAGCCACATAGAAAAAGGCCTGAAAATACACCAGCATTGTCAGCAATGGTGGTGTCTGGGTGATGGCATTATGGGTAATTTAAAGTTTTTCTCTGTCCTTTTCCATGTGTAAAATTCTTTTGAATGCGCATATGGTACTTCTAGAACCAGAAGCAATATACATCTTTTCAAAGGGAGAGGTTTGGGGCGATAATATTTGCCGTGTTCAGAGGCCAGGACGGGCCATTTTCTTCCGGGGCCTCTGGGGCAGGGGCCGGGGGGGGGGGGGCAAGGAGAGAGGCAGGGCCGGGGGAGGGGAGCAAACACCCATTTTCTGGTCGGCGGCCTCTCCTGGCCTCCATCCTGCCCTACATGCCCCACCCAAGCAGTAAATGTCCCCCTGGACATTCGGGGTTTTGGGGGTGGGGCTTGGAGCGCTTCATCAGCACCCCCCCCCACGACACATCTGGGTACAGCCCATCGCACAACGGGCACCGCCATTTCTTTCCCAGGTTTTTTGTTTCTCGTTTCAGTTTTTGGTGGATGTTTTTGGTACCTGCTGATCTTATCGCTAATCCGAGAACTCAATGGTTTTTACTTTCAGTAAAAGTCGAACCGCCTGTGATTTTCAGCGTGAAGCCAGTGCCGGGCGTCAAGCGGATGCTTCGCGTACAGTGGGCGAAGCCCGTCTCATCGGCTCTCAATTACACGCTTCGATTCAGAGCCAACGGCAGTGACCCCTGGGTAAGCGCCCCTGCCACACGTTCCTGCCAGAGGGCCGGGCGGAGGGGACTGTGCACAGCTTCCGCTGGCCTGCTTTCCGTTCTCCGCACCGAAAACAGACATGGAGAACGAGGGAGCCTTCCTGGCCCGCGCCCCTGTGGCCGCGTGGCCTGGGGGCGTTCGACTGTCCTCGCTGCTACTCTGGGAGCGCGGCGTGGGGTGGGACCGAAGGGTGGGAACGTAGCTTTGCCGTCCACCCGGTTCCAGCCCAGCTGTCTCGGCTGCCAGTGATTCCAGGGCTTGGCTCTTTCCTTTTTTATTTTCCCAACCTTTTATGACATCATGATGTATGATGCACGTTACGAAAAGTGAACAAAAGATAAATACTGCATTGAACAAATGGTTATTGTCCGCTTAGTGATGTAAGCTCCCTTCGTTATTACCGGCTCCCCTGAGAGCGAGCAGTCACCCTGACTCCATGGTGATCACTGATACTCCTTTGCTTTCTACTGCGCGAGGCCAGCAGCCAGGAACAGTGTAGTTTGGACATTATATCAGTGGAACCTCTGCACTCTCTCTCTCTCTCTCTCTCTCTCTCTCTCCTTCACCGTTGTTCAAGTATCGTTGTCTCCATTTCCCCCCACCCCACCCTCCCATCCTGGATCCTACCCCCCTTTGGCTCTGTCCATGTGTCCTTTATACATGTTCCTTGGTGACCCTTCCCCTTCTTTCCCCCTTTATCCCCTTTTCCCCTCCCCTCTGGTTACTGTCAGTTTGTTCTTTATTTCAGTGTCTCTGGTTGTATTTTGTTTGCTTGCATGTTTAGTTGATTAGGTCCCACTTAGAGGTGAGATCATATGGTATTTGTCTTTCACCGCCTGGCTTATTTCACTCAGCATACTGCTCTCCAGTTGCATCCATGCTGCCACAAAGGGTAGGAGCTCCTTCTTTCTTTCTGCTGCAAAGTATTCCATTGTGTAAATGTACCACAGTTTTTTGATCCATTCATTTGCTGATGGGCACTTAGGTCATTGCCAGCTCTTGGCTATTGTAAATTGTGCTGCTATGAACATTGGGGTGCATAGGTTTTTTTGAATTGGTGTTTCAGGGTTCTTAGGATATCATCCCAGCAGTGGAATTTATGAGTCAAAAGGCAGTTCTATTTTTAGTTTTCTGAGGAAATTCCATCCTGTTTTCCACAGGGGCTGCCCCAGTCTGCATTCCCACCCACAGTGCACTAGGGCTCCCTTTTCTCTGCATCCTCTCCAGCACTTACCGTTTGTTGATTTGTTTGTGATGGCCATTCTCACTGGTATGAGGTATGACGTAGTATCTCATTGTGGTTTTAATTTGCATCTCTCTGATGGCTAGTGATGCTGAGCATCTTTTCCTGTGTCTCTGGCCTCTCTGTATGTCCTCCTTGGAGAAGTGTCCGTGCTTTTAAGATTCATTCACATCGTGAGGCCAGAGCCCAGGCTTTTCCTTGCTGTGTAGTCAGTCCTCCATGGTGTGAGCAGGCAGAACCGTGGCTTTAATGTGGGTGTGCCTGGCTGTTAACAGGGCGGCGCACCTTCCTATGGTTTGGTGGCCTCCTTTGTGAGTTGTTTTTTAAGCCTTTTGCCCGTTTTTTCTGTTGGACCACCTGATTTTTTTTTTTTACTGGCTTGTAGGATTTCCTTACATGTTCTGTTTATGAGTCTTCTATCTGTTGGGTGAGTGTAGGAAACATCTCGCTCCCTGTGGCCTGGCTCCGTTCTGTCTGCGGTGATGTCAGATGAATGGAACTTCATTTTAATCCTGTTGAATTTTATCAGTCCTTGCCTTTAGACTGCTTTTTGTACTGTAAGAAACATTTCTCTTTTTTTTTATTTAAATTATTTATTTATTTTTATTGATTATGCCATTACAGTTGTTCTATTCCCCCCTTCATTCCCCTCCACCCTACCCCCCCATCCCCACCATTGCCCCCCCTTTAGTTTATGACCATGTGTCTCAAGTTCTTTAGATTCTGTATTTCCCATACTATTCTTGCCCCCCCATCTATTTTCTATCTACTGTCTATGCTACTTATTTTCTGTACCTTCTCCCCTCTTCTCCTCCTCCCACTCCCCGTTGCTAACCCTCCTTGAGATCTTCATTTCTATGTTTCCACTCCTGATCTAACTGTCCTTTTAGTTTGCTTTTGTTTTAGGTGTGGTTGTTAATAACTGTGAGTTTGCTGTCTTTTCACTGTTCGTTTCTTTAACTTGTTTTTCTTAGATAAGTCCCTTTAACATTTCATATAATAAGGGCTTGGTGATGATGAACTCCTTGAATTTGATCTTATCTGAGAAGCACTTTATCTGTCCTTCCATTCTAAATGAAAGCCTTGCTGGATAGAGCAATCTTGGTTGTAGGTCTTGGGATTTCATGACTTGGAATACTTCTTTCCAGCCCCTTCTTGCCTATATGGTCTCTTTTGAGAAATCCGCTGAAAGTCTGATGGGGACTCCTTTGTAGGTGACTGTCCCCTTAGCTCTTGCTGCTTCTAGGATTCTCTCCTTCATTTTAATCTTGGGTAATGTAATGATGATGTGCCTTGGTGTGTTCCTTCTTGGGTCCAACTTCTTTGGGACTCTCTGAGCTTCCTGGATTTCCTGGAAGTCTATTTCCTTTGCCAGATTGGGGAAATTCTCCTTTATTATTTGTTCAAATAAGTCTTCCACTGGTGGCTGTGCCTTTCCCCCTTCTGGTACCCCTATAATTTGGATGTTGGAGCGTTTAAAGATGTCCTGGAGGTTCCTAAGACTCTCCTCATTTTTTTGAATTCTTGCTTCTTGACTCTTTTCTGTTTGGCCATTATTTGCTTTCTTCTGGTCCACTCCATTGATTCGAGACCCAGTTTCCTTTTCATCGCTATTGATTTCCTGTGCAATTCCATTCATTTCAATTAGTTTCACCTTCATATGTTTGTCTAATTTGTGGCTATAATCAACCAGTTCTGTGAGGATCCTGATCACCAGTGTTTTAAACTGTGCGTCTGAGAGTTTTGCTATTTCTTCATCACTTAGATTTATAGGCTCTGCGGCTTTGAGGTCTTCTTGAGCCATTTTTGGTCTATTCGGGCCCTTTAAGTGTGAGAAGCGGCACCTTGGACTCCCAGGTCGCTGGGTTGTGACTCTGTATGTGGAGGCGTGGTCAGAGCGGGGAAATGGTGACTCCCTCTGCTGTTTCTCACAGCTGGGTGAGAGGCAGCGCCTTACATGGTTCACCTGGGCCGGGCCACTTATGTCCCTGGGTTATGACGCTGTATGTGGAGGCGGGGTCAGAGCGGGGAAATGGCGGAGCCCTCTGCCGCCAATTGCCGCTGGGGCCTGCTGGCTCCTGTCCAATCGCCCACTCCCTGGCTTGTCTATCCACACATGAATGCGCGACCACAGTCAACCCACAGCCCTGCTCCCTCGCAGTTTCCCCACGATCGCTCGCTGAGTTGCCCACCAGGTCCAACCCCACGCCTGGGATCCATATGACCGAGTTTTCCTGTGCAACCCGCTCTGCCAGCTGCTGGTTTCGCCCCTCTTACCGGTCAGGCTGAAGAATTTGTTGTTATCAGACTTCCGAAAAGTTCAATTTTCTGTGTTCTGACTGTGTTTTCTGTTGCTAATATTTAGTTGTCTCTAAACTTGGTTGTGTGAGGAGGCACGGCGCCTCCACCTGTGCCTCCGTCTTGGCGGAAGTGTAAGAAACATCTCTTACCTCAGAGCTCAGAGGAGACCCTCGTGTTCCCAGGGGCACGGGCTGAAACCATAGCACGTCTCTGGGACCAGCTCCTGCCTGCCAGTCAGTGACTCCAGTTAAATCTTTAAAACTGCCCCCCATGCTCCCGAGACTTACAAATACATCTTTACTACCTTACAACTTGTTTGTTTTAACCTGAGCACAGGTGTTTTACTTGCTCCCTGTGGATTTCTTCATGTTGGTCTTGCCCATCATTGTAGACAGTTGAGAGTCTTTATTCTGTCACCCAAAACTTGGTTACTTTCTGACTTTTCAATAAAACTTAGTCAGGGTTTTACTCTCCAACTTCCAGCGCTCTCAGCTTTGCTAACCCTTCCTTCCACACCCCATTCAATCATCAGTGGCAACGTCCATGCCCCCCCGGGCCCAGCGGTAGCCCAGCAGGGGCCACGGGGAGACCTTGGCGTCCCTGCTGCGGGTGCTCAGGTCCCCTGGCCCCTTTGACTGTGTCCTGTCGTCACCACCCCAGTCAGACGCCTCTTCTTTCATCCGGCCCCTGAAGCTGCCACTCGGCTTCTTCCTGCGTGAGAACCGGGGGCCCTCGGTCGGCGGCATGTGCTCCCAGTCCCGACCGTTTCAGAAAAGGAGCTGTTTCACTTCAAGTTTTAGGCCGAAGCCCTCCTGTTTGGAGGGCCAGCGGACCCTGGACGGGAGGCCAGAGTGCAGGGGGGCACGTGCCGGGGCGGGGGGGCAGCAGCCTTCTCCCTGAGCCCTGCTGAGCGTGCCCAGCAGGAAGCCCACGCCCGGGACGCAGGGCCCAGGGATGCATAGGAAACATCTGTTTCAAAAGGCAGGAAAAGTGAGAGAGGGCTTTCCTAGACCACCTTGCACGTGGATTACTATGGTTTCCTTTCACTCGCCTGTGGACAGCCTTCCGAGAAGGTCTGTCTGTCTCCAGCCACGGCCCCGACTGCTGGGCCCTGGGGACGCTCCTCGCCCAGAGACGACAGCTTGTCCCAAATCTGTCATGGGGTTGTTTCCAGCAACCCCATCCTGGCCCTGCAGCATCTCAGGGGAGGCTGGCAGAGGTGCCCCAGGCACCCGGGGCTCAACACGAACCCTGCTCCGCAGCTGGTCCTGCTTCCCGGTGATGCCAGGTCCCAGGGTGGCGAGGTCAGCGGGCCCCCGCTGGAGCTGGGCACTGAGCTTGTCACCACAGACGCCCTCCGTGTTGCCCAGTGACAGGCCCAGGACCTGCGTGCAGTTCTGGGCTGGCGCCCAGCGGCGACACCCACGCCAGAACTGGCAGGCTTGCTGGCCCTGCGGGCCGGACAGCTCGTGCACATGCTCCCACACGGGCTGCCTGCTGGTGCCGTTCCAGTTTGTTAATCAGCGGAAACCAAAGTAAAACCACAATTACAAGTGCCTGTCACAGCCGCACGGCCACTGCAGCCGCACAACCGCCGCAGAAGCGAACGGCAGGGCCTTTGCTTCTGTCATGGTTTCCACAAGAGACGTCAGAGGTCAGAGAAAGTGGCAGGCTCGTCTTCCCACCGAGGATGCCGTGCTCCCGAACAGAGAGCTTCGTGCGCTTCTCTCCCCCGGGGAGGGTCGAAGGGACTGGAGCCGCATCGTTGTCAGCTTGCTGGTCACCCAAAGACTGGTCCTTGGACAGGGAGGCTCGGGGAGAAGGCGGCGTCTAGGACCGTGGCAGCGGGAGCTCCCATCTGCTCCTGCCAGTGACAGCGCTGAGGCCGCCCAGGGTCCCTCCGCTTCTCCAGGTGTTGTCCAGATGTGGGGTTGAACTCAGTGCCCCTGAGGGGACCTGCTGTCCCCTGGGGCCTCATCTGTAGGTGCTGGAGTCGCCTCCAGAGTTGGAGCCGAGGCCCAGGTTGCCGGGGGCCCCAGGGCTCCACCTGGCTCCTTCCAGAAGCGCAGGACAGTGCGCTCACGCCAGCTCGGAGCCCGGCTTCTCTGGCTCGCAAGCTTAGAGGTGGGAAGTGGCAGGGAGTGGTTTCTGGGTCCCCGAGGATGTGTGGAGGTTTATTTATGAAAATTATACATTGACAAATTTGAGATACAATGCCACTAGTTCTGAAAAGGTAAAAGGGGTTGGGGAGGGAGGAGGAAAAATGGAAAGATTCCTGGTGGTTTCCCCTCCAGCTCAGTGTTCTCTGTGCCTTGCAGAGGGAAGTCAGCTTCGAGAAGGAGATGGACGGAGACTCAGCCTACAACCTCACGGGGCTGCAGGCGTTTGCGGTCTACGCCGTAGCTCTGCGGTGTGCGGCTTGGAAGTCCAAGTTCTGGAGTGGCTGGAGCCGAGAAGAGGCGGGAATGACTGAGGAGGAAGGCAAGTGGGGCCCTCACAATCCCCGTCTGCCGGCGCTGGGGCGGGCGGCAGGGCCACCCTTTGTGGACTTGGCCAAGTGCGGCGCCTGGGAATTGGGAGCCTGTGGTCCTGGAGCTGCAGGGCCCGCACCTTCCCTCCCCGCAGGGCCCGCCCCGCACACAGGTCAGCCAGCTGCCCCTGGCGGTGCCAGCAGCTCTGGGTCCTGGAGGCCGAAGTTCAGACCCCATTTTTAATGCCCTTGTAAAGGTCTGCACACAAAGGGGTAGCCTATGGAGCACCTCCTGTCATGCACTGAAGATGCTGCAGAGCCGGAGCCACGGTCACGGGGCAGACGGCCCACTGGTCACGGGCTCTCAGAGGCCCAGGTCTTGCTGCTGGTCTTGGCGGGCCCTCCTTCTAAAACATCAGAGGGGGGTGGAAACGGCCCCCTGGGCCGTGCCTTCGGACAGGCTGGCCAGAGTTCAGCTCGCCCGCCCGAGGGGCGTCCTTGTGCTCAGCCCGCTCCTCCCCCAGGTGACCTCCCAGTCCTTACGGCTCAGTGTCTTCTGCGGGGCCGTCCGCACTCTGGCCAGGGTCTGATGTGGCGTTCACCGCCTGGAGTCGCCGCCTGGAGTCGCCGCCAGCATTGCGGCTGCTAACGATCCTCGCCACTCGGCCGAGATTAAGCAGCCGAACAGCAGACGCTGCCGTGCCCTTGGCTGGTTAAGCCCAGTCAACACTCACTGACCAAAGTCACCAGGAGGAAGCTTTGGCTTTTGTTGTTCTTCATTTTTTTCAGGATCCCAGAAGAAATTAACAAAAACGCACCCATCTGCCCCCAAGAAACCCCCGCTTCCCCTGTTCCCACTCATAAACGACCTGTTCTGTGTTCACGCTGACGTGCCGGCTGGCATAACGCACCGCACACCCTCCTAACGGTTGGAAACTCCTAGGCTGAAGCCCTGTGCCTTCTCTCTAGGATGATTCGGGGTGTCCACCCCCCTGTCAGCGTGTCGGTACCTGCCACAGACACACGGGACATGTTCAAACCCGGCTTTGTTTCTTAGAAGCTCGTGAGTGCGGGCAGCTGCCTCGCTGCTCCGGGCTCAGACGCGGGGCTGACGTGGTCAGGGTCCCAGCTGCAGGGCTGTGGGGTCGAACGCCATGCTGCCACAAAGAGGGACGTGGGTGTGGTCAGCTGAGAGCAGGCGGCTCTCCTTGTCACACATCATTAGGGCACCAGCAGGTCTCAGGGTGCGGCCCCCCCGCTGTCACTGAGGCAACACAGCACCCAAGGGTCCCCGTGTTGCTCCAAACAATGGCTGCCTTGGAATTCGTACAGTTTGGAGAGCAGGTTTGCGAAATTTAATTGTGCTCTGTCACAAATACAGAAGTTTCACTTTTCCCTTTTCGATGAAACCTCAAATCCATTATTCACTTGTGGTTAGTGGAAAATTGGCCAGAACACTTGCAGATCCGTACAGAAGCAAGGCCGTCGGTCTTGGAAGGCTGTTCCCCTTGGGTGCTCCCTGCAGGGAACGGCGGCCTCGGCACACGAGGGAAATACCCGATTAAATCCACTCATTGTCACGGTCTGCCTGTGGGGTGACTCTATTTCTAACCCAGTGACTGGAGTGATCGACTTTTTGGTGACCAGTTCGCGTTGGCCTCTCTGGACACGGCTTTCAATTCAGATGGATAGTGGGGACTGGACGGTAATGCACATCCGGCCTCTCGGTTCCCCCCTCTCGGTATTTCTGTCCCCAACCCTGACCCCTGTAAGTGGAACAGGGAGACTGCAGGTGGGAGACATGGCAGGACCCCCTTGGGGCACAGGCTGGCCCGGGAGGGGCTCAGTCTCTGCTCTGTCTCACTGGCTCCAGACAGGCTGAGACCGGCCGCGTGTGCCCTGCGGGAGAAGCCTGTGCTGGCTGCTCTTTTTCCTGGTTCTGCAAAGGCCTGGGAGGGGCGAGGAAAGTCCCAGCAGGGCAGAGAGGGGTGTGTGCAGGGGAGGCGATGAAGTCACCGTGAGGCTGAACAGGGCCCGATCACCCCAGTCTGTCTCCCGGATTCTCGGCCCACAGTCAGACGTGGCGGCGTCCGTTCTCTGAGAGCAGCTGTGGCCGCACCTCTCCATCCCCACGGCACAGCCTGCTGGCCTGGTGGCCCTCGGGTGCGTCTCCTGCATGCGAGCTTGTCTTTGTCTGAGTTTGGTCTTTTCCTTTAAGACACTGTCACAGACGTCAAAGAGACCCTGAAAACGGTCTCTGCACCGACGTAGTTCAGGTCCGCGGCCCAGCCCGTTCTCCGCAGACCGGATGGCGCGATCTTTCTCCCGCTTTCCCTGGAGAAAAGGTTCAGGCTCAGCCTGTGGCCTCCAAGGGAGCGTCGGCCCCTCAGGCCTCTCGCTTTCCAGTGGCGCCTTAAGACTCTGCTCCTCTTGTTCTCCATCCAGAGCTCAGCGTTTCGAAATTTTAGGTGCAGAGAATTTAGCCAGGAGTTGCCAGGGAGCCACTTCTTGCCAAAACCTGCTTGAGATGAGACAGAGCCCAGGGACCGAGCGAAATGTGAACTCCTCTCTTTTTGCCAGTCTTACCCCCGTGTGGTCAGAGCGTCAGACTCAGACACACCTGAAGCGGGTTGTCTCTGGTGACCTTGCTCGCCGGAGGAATGCGGGGTCACGCGTGACGTGTTCCCGTGAGTCTAAACATACTTCCACTTGCCTGGCTGTGCCAGGAAGCGCTCGCCTCTGCGTGCGGATTTCTGCATTTCGGTTTTGTGAGGAGGCCCCGAGAAATACGCAACGTGACTCCTCTCTACTCTTCCTGCCAGGAAGCCGGCATCGAAGGCCGAGCTCAGAGGGGCCGTGGCGTGGGCCACTTCTCTGCTCCTTTCTTCTTTGATTTTTTTCTTGCGTTTTGTGACAGTGAAAGGGTGCAGTTTCGACCTTTCGGGAAGTAGGCGGGTGTGAATTATATGTATTTCCTTGTCGGCTGTGTCTGGGGTCCCAGCTTCTGTGCGTGTAGGTTGATGCCTCAGAGGACATGAACTGTCACGCATCGGCCCAGCTTTGGGCGGTGACTTCTATCACGACGGGGTCTCCTCTCCTTCCTCTCTGAGCGCACACTGAGGCAGCAGACCTGCGGCGGTTGCTTTCTGCCCGGTCACGTCCAGTCATTCAGCCACGAGATTCAGACCTCGCTGGTCGGTGCGATGCCGGCCCTGCCCAGCTGCCCGGGTCGCGGTCACTGCCGCCTGAGAGCCTCCCTCTGGTCCCCGCAGCTCCTCTCGGCCTGGACGTGTGGAGGACCCTCGGCCCAGCCCGGGCGGACGGACTACGGCCCGTGATGTTGCTGTGGAAGGTGACTGCACTCTGGTCCTTTCTTTACTTAAAGCCCTTGGTCTCTTATTCCTGAAAGAACTGTGAGTCTCGAACTTTGACCTCCTGAATTTCCCTCCCACGAGGCCCTGTGATGCCCAGTCTCGCCTGGCTCCCCAGCTCACAAAGCCTGCAGGTGCCTTGAGCTGCCGTGGCCCCTCGATCCTTCTGTCCAAAGCACGGGCATCTGTGGCAGGTGCCCGGTCAAGTGCAGGAGGCCCCTGGGCCGATGCTGAGAGCCCCTGTGGGCTGGCCGGCTCTGGGGGCAATGGGAGGGTGCAGAGCCCACAGCCCATGGGGTGTCCTCGGGTCACTGCAGACGTGTGGCATGCATGTGCCTGCATGGTGGGACACGACAGCACAGAACAGGCTGAAGAGTCCTCTCGGGGCAGGGGCGGTGGGGGGGGGGGGTGGGCGGGGAGTGAGGCGGGCAAGGCAGAGGTGAGGAAGGAGGAGAAGGGCAGAACCGAGGGGGAAGAGGAGAGAAATCTGAAAGGAAAAGGGCAACAGGAGAAAGAATTCCAGCCAGGAAACAGGGAAGGTGGGGCAGCCGAGGGGCGCCCGGGGGCAGGGCAGGCTTGGGGCTGGGTTAGCCGTTCAGCGATGTTCTCTGCCCCGTGGGCTGGGGGGGGAGAGACAGCCGATGGGCCGTGGGGGGTCCTGCCTGCACGGGCCCAGGCGCTCCCCTGGTCTGGCCTCATGGCGTCAGGTTTCTGTTGGTGTGGAGACCGAGGGCCCACCCAGCAAATGCCCCTCAAGGCTCAGGGTCACAGCGTGGGGTGTGTGGTTCGCCCCAGTTCAGCGTCGAAGAGTCGACATCACCCCGCCCCTCCTGCCCCCATTCAACACCACCTCGGGGCTTGTCTTTCTTTGTTTTTGGCCATAAACGTGAGTTCCTCTGTGTGCAGAAGGCAAGAGGAGCCCCGCCCCTGGAGAGGACGCTTGGCTACCTCGTACAGTACTTTCCAGAAAACAGTACTCACCTTGCAAAGACCGAGAACACCACACACGAGCACCAGGGCCTGGAGCTGTACCTGGGTAACGAGACCTACTGGGTGTCTGTCGTTTCCTACAATTCTCTCGGACACAGTCCCACGGCCACCCTGAGGGTTCCAGCCGTCGCCGAACAGCGTGAGTGATGCAGACACCTCTCCCTTAGACGCCTGCCCCTGGCAGTGGCGGGGACAGCCCCTCTCCTCTGCTTCTCTGAGTCCAAGTGAAAACCAGGCGGAGGCTTTTCGGTTCTGTGGGAAGAGCAAAGCCTTCCTGTAGTTAACGGGCCCGTGAAGCAGCATCCGGGGAACAGAGCCTCCGTGAGACACCAGCCCTCGTGAGGCGTCCGGCAACACCGCGCGCCCCAGGACCTCCGGGCAGCCGTGTTTGCTTCGGCCTGAACGCCGGCCGGGCCCCACAAACGGGGCAGAGCTGCTGCTCCTTGGAATCCGCCCCCCAGTCCCGACCACGGCCGAGTCCCTGTCCCCTTTGCTCACACCCCCTTCCTCCCTCCGACCGTGCAGTTCGGGAGATGCCCCACATGCGCACGCGCCCGCACGTGGCTCGCCACACCTGTTACATGGTGTTGGACGTTGCACTGTTCCTCGGCAAACTCACGTTTCACGCCCCGTTTTAGAATAAAATCCCTCCTTCGATTCTCATTTGAGGCACGGCAGGCAGTAGATCTCCCTGCCTTGTTCCGCTCTAGGCCTCAGCTAAAATTCGCTCTGTTCCCAAAGGGCTTCTCGTCTGCGTCCCCCAGCTCTGCAGGGGCCCACTGTGTGTCCAAAGTGTCACCCTGTTGTCGGTTACGATGGTCCCAGAGCAGGTGCGGGCAAACCGCAGCTCACGGGCCAAACCTTGGCCAACCCCTGTCTCGTGACCCGAGCTTCACTGGCACAGCCGCGCCCTCCGGTTCGCAGTCGCCCGCGCTGCCTCCCGTCCTGCGACGGCAGGGCTCGCAGCCGTGCCAGAGACCACGGGCCTGCGAAGCCTAAAATGTCGACTCTCTGGCTCTGTAGGCAGAAGGCGTGGGCACTTTGCCGGACACGAAGCGAGTAGTCCCCCTGGACCGCTGTGTAGAATGGCCGCGGCAGCCGTTCCGAGTGCAGCGGTCCCTGGGAAAGGGCCATGTGTCTTCGGGCCCCTCTGGGAAGAGGGTCCGGGTCGGGCTGGCGCCTTTCCAGTGCCCGGAAATGGCCGCGTCACCACCCCACCCCCGCCCCACCCAACCCGGGTGCTGGGCCCGGGCTTCCTGCTGCTGGGGCGTCTCAGATTTGTCGGGGGGCCACCCCCGCATCTTCCTCACCTGGGACTTGGTGTTCACTTCGACACTCGGGCCGCAGGCTCTGGTGGGGGGCGGGAGAGGAGCGGGGGAGGGGAGGGTGCGGCTGTGGTCTTCTGACCCCCCACCCCGCCTCCGTGCACCTGCAAACGAGACCGATCTCTAACTCCGATTCCCTCAGATGCGGGTTGGAGGCTCCCTGCTGAAGGGGTCCCTGTGGCCTGTGTCCAGACCCACATTCTCCCCCAGGCGGGCGGGGGTGCCACTTACTGGTTGACAGCTAGACGCCGTGGTTGGGTGCACTTGTATCTTTCTGGTACGGACACAGTTCTTCCCGCCCGGGGACAGGCCTCTGTAGCCAGGTTGGGCAGGGCCAGCTGAGACATGTGAAATTTGAAGTCACCTGCTTGGTGTGATTTTCAGGCCACCACCTCCCAGCTTCCCAGCCCCACAATTTCTGGTGCCCCAAACCCTGCCTTTAGAGACCCCTCCTCTCCTTGGGCTTGCGTCACTGTGGCTCACAGGGACGCCTGTGGGGCCAGGCCTCTGGTCATCAACACGGCAGTGGGAATATGTTTGGGAGACAAGGAAGGGTTCAGAGGGCACCTAATCATCGAAGGTGGGGTGAGGAAAGGGGACAAGAAAAGGGGTGAAAATCCCCCCGGGGGTCTGCGGCGGAGGTCCCGAACCCTGACCTTTGTGCCTCGGGCACTGGCCGGATGCAGACGTGGTGGGCGCGTCAGGAGGGGGCGCTGGGGGGCTGCAGAGTGTCCTCCTCTCTGCCTTCAGCGGTTCAGTGCATCGAGGCCGTTCAGACCCACTTCACCGCGGACTGGCTGGTGGTGACGTGGCAGAGCTCCGCCCCGGACGTGGACGCGTGGATCGTGGAGTGGCTCCCAGACCTGGAATCCGCCCCCCTGTGCTGGGAACCGGTGTCTCGGGCCAGGAACTGGACAATCCAGCGAGGTAGCCGTGGCGGCCTCACTGGCTCCCTCGGGTGGGACCCCGCCCATTTCCATCTGTTTTCAAGTCTTTGGCGGGGGCTTCAGAGCTGTGACTGTGGCTGATGGCATTGGACGGGCTCGGGAAGCACACGTTTCTGGGTGTGTCCCAGCGGTGCTGGGCCGGGACGCCGGGAGTGTCTGGCCAGGTCTCTGGCGGGTGTCCAGGTGGAAACGCCCCCTCAGGACCCGCCATCCGCGAGCCCTTCCCAGGTGTCCCCACCACGCGGATGACGGAGACTGTGCAGCCCAGGGCACCCCTTCCGTCTGGCTGCCTGTTTCTGAGCCGGGGCCCTTCCCCAGGGGACAGACACAACCACTCCTCCAGGGTGTCCCTGATCCTCAGAGGACACACGAGTGAGGCTTTATCCTCCTGAGCCCATTGGCCTGAACTGTTCCCCAGGCAACCGCACCTGCTTGAACACTTGCACCCTGTGCCGGGAGGCAGGCGGGCAGAACCGGACCGCACGGCATCCGCACACACGGGTGGTGTGCTGGGGACCGTCCCCAAGTCACGCAGCAAAGCCCACGGCAGGGCGGGCTGGCCTCCCCCTCTCCCTCCCTGGGCGGCCCCATCCTTTCATCAGAGTGGTCCAGGTCTGGTGTTGAGAAGCGGCTCAAAGCGCCGGGGCTGGAGTGGACATGAGAGGCCACCAGCCTGGCCTCCTTGCTTCTCGATGAGGAAATGGAGAGAGCGTCTGCCCTGAGTCTCAGGCCGTAACTCCAGGGCTGGCCTTCTCGCCACAGGCCGTGCTCTGCCCTCGAGGCTTCTCTCTCTCTCTCTCTCTCCAGTCAGATTGCCTTTCTGGTGCTACAACATCTCGGTGCATCCAGTGCTGCAAGACGGAGTGGGCCAGCCATACCGCGCCCAGGTTTCTTTCGAGCAAGACGGTAGGTGTGGCCCCGGTCCTGGGTAGTGGGGACAGGAAGCACTGGGCCCATTCAGCACGCAGCCCAGTGGCAAAGGCCCGCAGGCCGGGGCCTGCGCCGCACCGTCAGTGCACAGCGGCCCCTGTGCTGGATGCCAAGGCGGCCGGATAGTCACTGAATTTCAGAGCAGGGTGGACGTCAGACTTCGTCACGTCCAAGCCCCTAGGTTCACAAGTGAGAAACTGAGGCTCAGAGAGGTGGGGACTTGCCCGAAGTCCCAAGGGGCTGAGGGCAGGCCGTGCTGTAAGCAGCAATGATGTTCAGTGAGGGACCCTCCAGAGGTCATCGTCACTCTGAGACACACTGGGTTGTTTGTAATTGCGTAGCAATAAGCAAGGGCTTTCCTGGCGACGTTCTCAGACGTCGCGTTCATCTTTTTGGAAGTTAACATCTTCCAGCTCCGACAGTGGAAGGTACATCTGTCACTCAAAGTAGTCCCATGGAAACGCTCTTCGCCTGCTTGGTAATCGCCAGGGCGGGTGTGAATGACAGAGCTGGGTCTCAGGGGAGAGCGAGGGGTCCACAGAGACTCCCCCTTCGCCTCCTGTTCAAGACGGGGACTCCAGCAACGGTCTCCCCGGAGGAGCTGGCGGGGTGGCTCTGTCGTCCGGCCCCACCCCCAACACCAGCTGGTCTGAGTGCCTGACAGGGCCCTGCGGGGAGGACCTGCTACGCTTCCTTCCTGTTCACGGTCTGTCCCCCTGTCCTGTAAGTCCCATCAGCAGGTCCCGTGACCAAGGTGGAGAACATCGGCGTGAAGACAGTCACCGTCACATGGAAGGAGGTCCCCAAAAGTCAGAGAAATGGCTTCATCAGCAACTACACCATCTTCTACCAAGCCGAGAACGGAGAGGGATTCTGTAAGTCTGCTCGTAGCCAAGCGGGAAAAAACCCAGGGCCCCGAGTAGAGGTGACCTCACGCCTGCCATAGGGCCACACCTGGCTTGCGTCCCTCTGCGTCTGTGAGCCTCTGAAAAGGGGGTCGAGGTCAGCTGCCTCCTGAGGCTTTTGGAGTCGGACGAGTGAAGTGTCGGCACCGGAAGGTCCTGCAGAAACCGGAGGCGGCAGTGTGATTTGCTGGTCAGGCGGGGACAGGCTCCCTCCCAGGGGCCTCCGGGCCGTTGTTCCAGATGGGACTTGCCTGGGCTGACGGGAGGGGTGTGGACAGACCTGGGGAGGGACCTTGGTGGAGCCTCCGGCTGTCCCTGCCCCGTCACACCTTTTTCTTGAACCCACGATATCTGCTGACACCCTCGTTTCTGGCCCAGGCTCAGGTTTCTGTTCAGGCTGGTTTTTGTTCTGATAAAACACTTCTAAAACGTTTCCGATCTGCAGTGTGCCACCAGGGACACTACTCCCTGCTGCTGAGCCCCCGTCACCCCTGCCCGTGTCCTGCCCAGGTGGATACCTGTGCCCTTTGCCGCGCTTCCTGTCACCCTCTTGCACAAAACCGCCCCTGCCACACACGGAGTCCTACAGCATGTGGCCTTTCCTGTCCAGCGTCCTTCGCTTTTCCCAGCTTGTCCACGTGGCGCTGCACGTTAGCGCCTGGTCCCCTTTTACCACAAACGGTGTCAGCCTGCGGGCGGCCAGGCGGCCACGATGTTTGGGTTGTTTCCGCCTCTTGGCCATGGTGGTCTATGGTGCTGTGAGCTTTCATGAGGGGTCTTGGCGGCACCACTGTGCACAAAGGTCTGTGTGAGCCCCTGCGTCCGGCTCTGGAGTGCTCAGCTCTGACGGAGGCGGTTCAGCCTACGGAACCACCGCCTGACTTCTGTGCCTCGGCCGCCCCGTCCTGCGGCAGCGTGAGGGTGCCAATTTCTCCGCATCCCTGACGACGCTTGTTGTTTTCTGTTTACAAAACTGTCGCGGTTTCCGAGTGGGTGCCGTAGAACGTGCTGCCTTAGTGTGGTTTCGACGTGCACTTTCTCGGTGACCGATGGCGCTGACGCCTTTGCTTGCTTTGGGGTCTTCTCCTCTCCTTGCCCATTTCCAAACGGGGTCGCCTTCAGTTCTCCAGTCGTAAGAGACTTTTTATGTGTCCTGTCCCTTCCCTGCCAAACGCGCCACCCGAGACAGGTTTTCCCGTCCTGTGGGCGGTGGTTTCCCTCCGACGGCGTCTTGGATGCACGAAAGCTGTGCATTTTGGAGACGCCCAGTTTCACCTGTTTGTTCCCGTTGCTGTGTTTGGTGTCGGACCCGAGGAACCGTTGCCCCAGGGGGACCGCGCAGCGGGGCCGGCTCCTGACGGTCTCATCTCTGATGCCTCCCTGCAGCACGCACAGTGGACCCCAGCACCCTGCGGTATGGCCTGGAGTCCCTGACGCGGGGGACGCCCTACACTCTGCAGGTCATGGCCAGCACCCGGGCCGGCGGCACCAACGGCACCAGGGTGAACTTCAAGACGCTGTCCATCAGTGAGTGTTCCCTCCCAGCCCTGGTGGTCCCCTCGGCTTCTCTCAGGGGGTGAGGGACGGTGTCCCCCAGAGTCAGGGAAGCGAGCAGAAGGGCAGCGCCGAAGTGCCAGGAGCCATGTGTTCCCGGGCTCCTCGCCTTCCTGGAGGGCGTGTGGCCGCAGAGGGCAGGGCACGCAGGCGAGTCAGGGGCGAATCCGGAGACGGGTCGTCTTGCTCCTTCCGCACGCAGGGCCCCCATCACCTGGAGGAGGGGGGTTGGGCTCATGCTGAGTTCACTCTCGGCCCCAAGCCAGGCCGTGCCCGGATTCACAGGCACCCCTTCCGTGTGTCCAAGGTCGCCACACGGCGGGGCCTCGCAGGGAAGGTCTTGGTTGGACAGGCACCACAGGCCCACGGGAAGGGGCTTAACCTCATCATTTTTGGAGATTTTAGAAGCAGAAATGTACATAATAATGTTCTACTCATCAGTTTTTACCTTAAAAAATAGGAGGCAAGAAAAAATAGTTTTAATACTTTAATATTTTTAGACAAGGGGGAAGGGAGGGAGAGAGAAAGGGAGAGAAACATCAGTGTGTGGTCGCCTCTCTCACGCCCCCTACTGGGGACCTGGCCCCCAGCCCAGGCATGTGCCCTGACTGGGAATCGAACCGGCAACCCTTTGGTTCACAGGCCAGCACTCAATCGACTGAGCCACGCCAGCCAGGGCTAACCTTGCTTTTTGGCAGGCCAGCAGGAGCCCCGCCCCTGCCCACACTGTCCCCCTCTTCCCCGCAGGTGTCCTCGAGGTCTACCTCATCACCGCGCTGGTCGGCGGCGGGCTGCTCATCCTCACGGTCCTGACGGTGGCCTACGGCCTCAGAAGGCCCAAGTGAGCTGACAGCAGCAGCATGTGCCCCGGAGACGGGCGGGAGCGTTGGGGTCCGGGGAGGGCACCCCAGCACGGCGGAGGCGTCCCTCTGTTCCCTGGTCCACAGCTGCCGCTCACCAGCCGTGCGACTGAACAGCAGCACAGCCTGCACGGGGCCCTTGGAGGCTGGGGGCTGTGCCAGCCGTCCCCCCAGGCTTTACCTGCTGTGCAGGGCGTCTGAGGCCAGAGCTGGGGAGAAGGCTCTCCCCTCGGTGTCTGGAGGGCTCCCTGGAGGCAGCAGGAGGACTCAGGAAGGCAGGGCCTGGGGCAGGGAGCCCGTGGGCCGTGGAGTTAGGCACCGGCGGGCCGTGAGCTCAGGCAGACTGCTCCGCTCTGGGGCAGTGCCGGGGTGGGGGGCGGGGGGCCTGGATGCAGGGCGTGGTCTCCGGTGCCCCAGCCACTCTGGGGAGGGAAGCTTGCCTTCAGGGTGTTGTGCTTCTCTCCCCAGAGCACCGCTCTCGGCCCTGAGGTCGAGGGCTGCCCACCCCGCAGACCTCCAGGCAGAACTGCCCCCCATGGGCTGTCTGCCCAGCAGCTGTGCTCGATTATGGGCACACTGACGTCAGCCTCAGCTGCTAAGCAGATTGTCGCCCAGCAGCCCCGCCACACATTCTTGGGCACTTTGCATGTCTAGCGAGTCCCTGGGGAGGGCTGCTGCCTCTGGGTGGGACCCTGTTTCGGGAATCCCCGCATGGAAGGGCGGGCAGCTCCCGAGGCTCCGCCCACTCCGCCCAGGGCCTGGATCTCACAGCGATGGCCCTGGGTGGTCTGATGTCTGGGGTAGGGGTAGAGAAAGCTCTGTGTGGGGACAAGGCTCTTCCCGCCACATCCCCAGGGTCACCCCCACGCTGCCTGTTTCCCAGTTTGAGTCAGGAGCCCGGGAGCTGCCCCCTCCAGGCTCGGCCGCAGTGTCCGTCTGTGCAGAAAGCTCCTGGGACTCACGCCTGTGTGGGAATCTTCTCTCTCCAGCAGGTTGAAGCACCTGTGTTGGCCGCAGGTCCCCAACCCCGCCCAGAGCAGCCTGGCCACCTGGGTCGGCCTGCAGGTGAGCCGGTGCTCCTGAGCAGGCGGGGGTGGGGGCAGCCCTTCGAGGTGCAGCCGGGGGCACGGCTCCCATGGGCTGGGGCTCCTGCGTGGGCAGGGCACTGTGTGGGAGCAAGACGCTTGCCCTACCCGCAGGGCCTGGCCGTCTGACCAGGGAGCCAGAGGCCGGCTCTCTGAGGCCATTTGACAAACAGCCACGGTCACCAAGAGGCCCCCTGGAGACCTGAGAGGACCCCGATGTGGGGGGGTCCAGAGATGGGGAGGTGGCCCTGAACTGCCTTCCGGGGCTGGGAACCTCATCATCACACTTTGACAGCGGGGATTTGGGTCATCGACTCATAAGTAGAAACCCTCTCTGTCTTTTTTTCATAAAACTTAAAATTGAAAACAGTTTTGAAAACTTTAAGGTTGAATTCCTTGCTTAATTGAAAATAAGCTCAGTGAGACTTTTAAATCGTCACCATTGAAAGGTCGTGTCTAGCCTCTCTTGGTGCAGGAATTTTTAATATTACCCTTGTTTCGACTCGGAAGTCCCTTTTTGAACACGGACACTCAAAGATTATTTTTACATCTATTTTAACTTCGGTTACTTGGGCTTCTATTTTTCTCCTCTCTTTTGTCAGCCTTGTGTGACCCATTTCCCTTCCTGCTCATTAACAGTAATTAAGCGACGCGGTGACTCACAGGCAGCTCTGGCCTCGGCCGCAGCGGCTCTGGCACCAGGTGCAGGTCGGGCCTGAGCCAGCGCTCAGCTGTCCTGCGGGCCGCACCAGGTGCCGGGCTGGCTCTGGCGAGGCAAAGGTGACAAAGACAACGCCATCCCTGGCACGGGCCACCTGGGGTTCCTGGGAGGCCGGCACGTGGCTGTGACTTGGGTCCTCCCAGCTCTGACAGCTCTGTGACACTCGGCCCAGCTGGGCTGTGTGGGCGCAGGGCCGAGGGTCGGGGGCCTCAGGGCCTCTGATGCACTGGGGCCTCTGATGCCCCGTCCGATGCACTGGGCCCTTCTCAGACCCGGGCCACCCCTGCCAGGCTTCCTAGAGGGGCACCTGGAGGGGAGGCCTCCCCTCCGGGCTCTGGGGGCTGGTGGGGGGCTGGTCCCAGGCAGGGCCTCGGTGTCCCAAGCCTGATGGGCTTTCAGTTCCATTGTGCGTAGCCCCCCATGACCCTCGGGGCGTCCCCCTCTCTCTTTCAGACGAAGCTGCCGCAGAAGGGGTTGGACGACTCTGTGACTGCAGAAGACAGGATTCTAAAGCCATGTCCTGCCCCCAGTGACCTTATTGACAAGCTGGTGGTGAACTTTGAGAATTTTCTGGAAGAGGTTTCCTCAGAGGAATCCGGAAAGGGCCGGGAAAACATTTTGGGAGGGGAAAACAATGAATACGTGACTTTCCCTCACCAGGCCCCCACGGCGACTGAGGGGGCGCCCGGAAAACCGCAGCACCGGCGGTCCGGGTGGCCGGGGGGCGCCGGCCCAGGAACCGAAGAGCCGCTGCTGCCCTCGGCGCAGGGCGCCGGGCCGGCCCGCGTGCCGGAGCACGGGCCACCCAACCCCTACCTGAAGAACTCCGTGACAACCAGAGAGTTTCTCGTGTCCGAGACGCTGCCGGACCACGGCAGGCGAGAAATCTAGGTGCCACAGGGCTCAAGTCCCTCTGAGTCTCGCTGCCCGGCGCCTGCAGAGGGGACAGCATGGCCGGCCGGGGGAGCTTCCCCAGCCTTCCTGCCCACCCCTGCCCCCCTCGCAGGGCGAGTCTGCCAGCCCCTGGGTGGCCAGGCCCAAACCAACACGACCTGCCCACGTGTCACTGAGGAGAAGCCGATTGTGCCCTTCTGCTCTGCTGCTTCTCCGTCCCGGAGGACGGTGGCTGGCGGACCTGCAGGGACAGCAGGCCTTGAGGTGGATGGGTCTGGTCTTCCCAGGAGTTGGGCCGGGGTCGCGGTCCCGGCTGGGGCTGCTCCTCAGACGGAGCCCCCGCATCGCCAGGGGCAGCCTGGCGGGAGGAAGCATCTCCCTTCTGTCACCGGGCCTCCTGAGGCTCCAGGCCCCCCTGACTCAGCCCCGAAATCGCCCGCTTGTCCTTCCATGTGGCTGCAGGAAGCAGAGCCGCCCTGACGGTGGCCCAGGCCCCTCCTCCCCCCATTTAGAATCCAGCATCCCGCATGGCGCCCCCACCTGCCCCTGGGGGCTCTCAGCCAGCAGGCAGCACGGGGTCCAGCAGTTCCGCCCGCTTTCCGGCCCCCCCACCCCCCCACCCAGTGCTGGCCTTGCTGCCGTCTGCATTGCACCCCTGCCTGGGGCAGAAAGACACCCAACGCTTTGGTGGCTTTTGTCCTCGAACCTCCAGCTGACTCAGAGCCCAGGGTGCCGACAATGCCCGAAGCAGCCAAGCGGCACAGGCACCGCTCTTGGCCCCCCAGCAGGACCCCCCACCCTTGGTCCCCACCGAGGGCCGAGCTCGGGGCAGGCGGCGAGGGAGGCTGGCTTGCACCTCAGTGTGAAGGCCCAGCTCAGCTGCCCTGACCAGGGACTGAGGCCTGGCGCTGGGCCAGACCCTGACCACGGTGACGTCAGGGACTTCCTGACGTGCAGCCGAGACTCTGGCCGGTGCCGTGACCCCGGCCCGTGCCGGCGGGTGTGAGGAGTCAGGCCCCCGCCGACTGCACAGAAGCGCTGCTCTGTTTTCCCAGAACCGACCCACTCCTGCCCGATGCCCTGACACTGAGGAACCTGCAGCCCAGGGCGTGGCTCCTGACTGTTGGGGACTGTGACTGACCCTGTCCACTCCTGGACTGACACTGGGCGCGAAGGGTCAGGGGGACGGCAGTGTTCGCCCCCCGTTGGGTGTCTGTCCCAGGCTGGTGTCGGGCGCCTGGGGCTCTCCCTGCCCTGCAGTGTCCCTGGCCACTTTCCTCAGCCAGTGGCTATGTCCTGATGGGGTGCAAAGGCCAGCAGGGCCGCTGTCCCCACGCTCTCTGCCCTCCTTCAGCCTCAGGTGCCGGCAGTGCCCTGCCCCGCCCCCTTCTCCCCTGCTCACAGCCCACCAGGGACGGGGCCAGGGCTGGGCGCTGCCCCGTGTCCCGGTGGCAGGAAGGGACCAAGCAGAGGGACACATCCCCTGTGCTGGGCTCTCTGCCCTGACACCCACTGCGGGAACCGCCTGTCCCCCAGGGTCCCAAAGGGCCCTCCTCACCCCACCTTGGGGTTGCGAACTTGCCGCAGGGGCAGCCTGTGCCCGCACTGTGCTCTCTGCCTGCCTCCACTGGGGGCCTCAACGTGTGCGGCGGTCGGTGGGGAGGGCGTCCCCTCCCCCACCGTGTCCCTCTGCCCCTGGATGAGGCTCTGGAAGCTAGAATCCAACAGTCTGATGGTGGCCAACTGCAGGGGACCCAGCGGCAGCCGCTAGTGGGTTCCAGAGACCAGGAGGCTCCTCTGCTCCCCCGCCAACCCCCCGCCCCCTGCCTCTCCCGCTCCACCCCACTCCCATCCTGGCTTCTGCGGCCTCTTCCTTCCTCTCCTTCCTTTTCTTCCTCTTCCCTTCCCTCCTTCTTACCAGCTTCCTCTGACCATTGTCCATATTTGCTGCCCTTGCAGAGGTGGGCGGGGGTGGGGAGCGGCAGTAATCTGGGCGGCTTTGTCCCAGACGGATGGTGGGGGGCTTCCCCGGGGCCAGCATTTCCACCAGGACAAGGGGCAGTTTTCCAGGAGCTCCAGGAACTCGCCCGTGGTCTCAGCTGGCTGCTCACAGCAGAGCCACAGGACTCTGTGGCTGCTGATGACCTTCCAGTCCCTAGCCCGGCGTCCTGGGCCATTCCTGTGGCCAGGCAGTCTCCCTGCGTGTTCTCTGAACGTCGGAGACACGGAGAGGCCACAGCAGGACCCCCAGGTCTCAGCGAGGTCCTGGGAAGCTGATAAGACCCCGTTTCCCGGGGCTCTGGGGGCCGCCGCAGCGGTGCTCGTCAACCCCTCCCTTGTCCAACAACACAGAAGCCAGGCTGGCCGAAACGGGGGTGACAAAGGAGAGGGTCAGGCCAGGCCCGGCCTCCCACCGCTGCCACTCCCTGTGTGGGGGAAGCAGCCCTGCCCCGAGCCCCAGAAGGGACTCTGTCCCCCACCCCCAGCCCTCACAGCTTCCTGTTCCCGCCACAGCCCAGGGGGCAGTGGGGGGGTCTCTTAGCTTCTATCAGTGGTTCTCCATCCGGTGACTGCCCCACCCCTGACATTGGGGTTTGCTGCCGGCACCTAGTGGGTCAACGAAGCCTGTCATCAGCCCGGAGCACCCGGAACAGCCTGATAACGAGGTGTCCGTCCCGGGGGTCAGCACTGAGCGCCTCCTCCGGCTTTGCAGGGTTGAGCACCTTGCCCACCCTTCTCTCCCCAGGCAGCCTCGCTGGTTCGAAGGGCCCGAGGCTCCGGCACGTCCGGCCCTTTCCCTGCTGAGAGGCGCCCTCACTGTGGCCCGGGGTGTGGTCTGCCGACCGCGAGCCGTTGGTGCGGCTGCCGCGGGGCCTGCCCTGCTCACACCGCTTCCGGGCTGACGTCCCACCCACACTCTCTGTCTGCACTTTCCACCTTCCACCTTCGGGACTCCGCCCACGGGCTTCCTCTTGGGGGACTCAGCTGGGAGGGAGGCCCTGCATCCCCCACACCTGGAGGCGGGGCCGTGACCTCATGGGAGTGGGGGGAGCAGCCTTTGGAAGGCTCTCCCACGAGGCTGTTTGTATCCGGCCTTTCAAGTAATAAAGCCGCAGCGCCGCTTTAACGCAGGGTTATGCGTGTGGTTCAGCATTTCACCTGCGCGGGTGTTAAAACTAGACTTCAGGATGCAAAGTCTGACGACGTTAGGGGTCGGGAGAGCCCTGCTCCAGGTGACCAGGAATCGGACAGGGGACCTGTCCCGCCCGGACCCTGCTGGGCCCCGCGACCCCCTCCGTGGCCTCCCCTCTCCTTCCTCAGGGCAGCGTCTCCAAATTCCTCCCAGCCCCCCAAGTGCCCTCCCAGTGTCCCCTGCTGCTCTTGCAAATAGCGTGGCCCCCACGTCACGGAGGACGTGCCCCCAGTTGCTGGCCCACCCCTTCGGGATGGACTTCGGGGACGGTTTCAGAGGCGCAGGTGGCCCAGCTCTCACCGCCCCTCCCTGCCTGTCCTGCACTTGTCACTTCCGATTTGGGACCCGCTTGGGTCACTCCCCTGGACAAGGAGAGGGGACAGAGGGTGTGGCGCTGCGGTCCTCGGTCCCCACAGACCAGCCCGAGGCCCCAGACGAGGGCAGAGGGAGCCGCGTGCCCACAGCAGCTTCCCCAGGGAGAGAGCTGCGTGGCTAGAACTTTCCGGAGGGATAGGAGGCGACCACTTCCGAGCAGACAGTTGGGGACGGGACAAGGACTCCAGACTGGCCGCCTAGGTTCCCAAATCCATCTCCCCGGGGCAGAGCTCAGCCCGAGGCCCCGGCGGAAGAAGCTGAGCTGTCCGCCTGCTAATCTGTGCTGAGGCGGCCGTGGGGGGCTGTTTCGGTGTCCGGCCGAGGACGCGCCTTGTCTGAGGCCGGGGTCTGTGGGACCCAGGCGGGAGCCGAGCCCAGGCCGGGGCCCTGGTGTCCTCTCACCGCCAGCGAAGCCGCCTGGAGGGCCTGGCCCACCCGAGACCACCCCAGTCACGCCGCTCTGCAGGGACGGGCCGGTGCCCCGTGGGGCGCGGAGGGCGCGGAGGGGAGGGCCAGGGCACCCGGGGCTGACTGGTGGGCCCAGTGCCCCCGGACTCCCTTCTCGGTTCGGAGCGCCGGTGTTCGCACGGGGTCCGGACAGGGCTGGGCTCTGCTTCCAGAGCAGGCGACCCCGTCGGTGGACGGTGGGGGGCTGGCCCACGACCGGACGGTGCGCCCTCAGGAAAACCCGGCGGCTGCGTCAGAGGTGGTTTCCCGTGAGAAAGGCTTTGTGCTGCGCCGTTTCCCGGGAAGCAACCACGGGGCAGGGAAGCCTCCAGCTGCCTTCCAGATTAATCAGAAATACTTCAGATGCTGAGCGTTTTTTTCCTGTGAGTCAGCTTGTAGGCCGGCCACCCCCGGGACACGCTCATCGGCCAGCCGTGCTGTCCTGCAGGAAAAATGCGATTCCAGGGAAAGTGCAAGCCGGCTGTTCGCTGACTTCCTGCCGACGGGGCACCAGCCAGCAACTCCGGGACGTCTCCCGTGTCACCTTCCAGGAACGGCTCACACTCCAGCCAGAGGGGGAGGAGGCCCGAAGGCGGTGCCTCTGGGGCCCAAGGAGACGGTTCCCGTCCCAGTCCTCACGCCTCTCTCCTCCCTGGAACCCGGGCCCCTCGGTCCCACAAACCACACCCTCCGAAAAAGCCCCAAACAGAAACTTCTAAACAGAACCACCCCAAAAGAGAACACGGTGACACCCAAGTCCTGCTGTCCAGTGCCATCCTTGGGTCCCTCGGCCTCCCGGCCTGGACCCTGCACTCTGCTGGGTGTCCCGCCCGGCAGCCCAGCCGGCTTGTGGCTGGGAACTGCGGCGGGGGACACGGATCCAGCGGAGAGGCTGCGCCAGCTCCTGGAGGCGGAGGCCCCAGGTGGGAGGCCCCAGGTGCCGGCCGAGAGGCGGGCAGGGTCCAGCTGTGGGCCCGCAGCCCCTGTTCCCGCGGGGTCTGGTGGCAAACTCTCTGAGTTTGGCAAAGTGGGGCCAGGTGAGCGAACCCCACCCTCTCAGGAAGCCTGCCTGACATCACCTGGGGCCCCTGCCCCGCAGACCTGCCCCTGCCCCCAGCACCGGCCAGAGTGCTGAAGGGCGCTCTGTGCAAGAGGCAGAGCAG